TTTTTTGCTATCTTTGTCAATTTTCTTTTTTTCTTTTTCTGTGTTATTTTCCGAAACATCTTTCGTTCCTTCTGTTATATGTCGGCCATTTTTACTTTCTTTCTTTCTTTCTTTCTTTCTTTCTTTCTTTCTTTCTTTCTTATGTCAGACAATTTTTCTTTCTTTCATTCTTTCTTTCGTTTTGTTGTTTTACTTTCTCGAATATGTCGGACATTATTTTTCTTTCTTTCCTTCCTTCCTTCCTTTGTTTCTTGAATATGTCGAACACTATTTCTTTCTTTCTTTCTCGAATATGTCGGTCAATTTTTTCTTTCTTTAGTTCTTCGTTTCTTTCGTTCTTTCTTTCTTGAATGTGTCGGCGACTTTTTATTTTCTTTCTTTCTTCCTTCCTTTCTTTCTCGAATAAGACGGACATTTTTTCTTTCATTCTATTTTCTAGAATATTTCAGCCATTTCTTTCATTGTTGTTCGCTCTTTCTTTTGTTCTTTCTTTCTTGAATATGTCTGTCACTTTTTTGTGAGTTTCATTCCTGCTTTCTTTCGGACACTTTTTTTCTTTGTCCCTTTCTTTCTTTCTCGAATATGACAGACACTTTTCCTTTCTTTCTTTCTTGCTTGCTTTCTTTCTTTCTTGCTCGAATATATCGGTCTCTTTTTTTTTTTCTTTCTTTCTTTCTTTGCTTCTTTCATCGTTTCTTTCTTGAATATGTCGGCGACTTTTTACTTTCTTTATTCCTTCCTTTCTTTCTCGGAAATGTCGGATACATTTTCTTTCATTCTTTCTTTCTCGAATATTTCGGTCATTTTTTCTTTGTTTCTTTCGTTCTTTCTTTCCTTGGTACATTCTTTTTTTCTTTCTACAATATGTCGGCCACTTGTTTGTTTGTTTCTTTCTTTCTTGAATATGTCGGCCATGTTTTTCTTTCTTCCTTGCTTACTCAATCATATATTCTTTATTTTTTCTACTTATCTTACGGCCATATTACGTTGAAACACCGGTTGCCGTATGATCACTGATCTACATTAAGATCACTCAGTTCATACATGGGTGACCACTTGTGAATATCAGGTGCTGTTACCTTGGTTGTGAACGTGATACAATGGATAATGGGTCGGAATTATTAATCGGAGAGCCAATTCTAATTGTGTTCGTTATAATCACTTATGCATAAATACTTTTTGGAAAAGCATGAATCCACCTACCCCGCAAGCTATATCTGCATGATTTGTGTCACGAACACAATTATTATATATGCCCCCTACACTCAATTCTTACAATCTGAAAATATTTCCTGATTTTAAATAACCTACAATGGATTGATAAGGCGTCGAAAACGAATCAAAACATTTCTTCTACTTTCTCCCAAAATCTTTTTCTGTCTGGAATTTTTTTTTTCATTTCTGTCTTTCGTGTTTTCTTTTTTGTTCAACTGCCTTATTATTTTCTTCTTTTTCTTTTCTTTTTATCATGTCCCTCTACTTTTTATTTTTTTCTTCTTTTTCTTCTTCATCTTCCTCTCATTTTCTTCTTAGTTTCTTTTTATCCTTATTATTAGTAGTAGTATTTTCTTTTTCTTCTTATTATTATCTTCCGCTGTTTATTTTCTTCTAATTCTTCTTCTTTTTCTTCTTCTTCTTCTTTTTCTTCTTCTTCTTCTTTTTTTTCTTCTTCTTCTTGATCTTCTTTTTCTTCTTATTATTATCTTCCGCTGTTTATTTTCTTCTTCTTCTTCTTCTTCTTCTTCTTCTTCTTTTTTCTTCTTCTTCTTGATCTTCTTTTTCTTCTTCTTTTTCTTCTTCTTCTTTTTCTTCTTCATCTTCCTCTCATTTTCTTCTTAGTTTCTTTTTATCCTTATTATTAGTAGTAGTATTTTCTTTTTCTTCTTATTATTATCTTCCGCTGTTTATTTTCTTCTTCTTCTTCTTCTTCTTCTTCTTCTTTTTCTTCTTCTTCTTGATCTTCTTTTTCTCCTTCGTCTTTTTCTTCTTCTTCTTTTTCTTCTTCTTCTTCTTCTTCTTCTTCTTCTTCTTCTTCTTCTTCTTCTTCTTCTTCTTCTTCTTATTCTTCTTCTTCTTCTTGATCTTCTTTTTCTCCTTCGTCTTTTTCTTCTTCTTCTTTTTCTTCTTCTTCTTCTTCTTCTTTTTCTTCTTCTTCTTGATCTTCTTTTTCTCCTTCGTCGTTTTCTTCTTCTTCTTCTTCTTTTTCTTCTTTTTCTCCTTCGTCTTTTTCTCCTTCGTCTTTTTCTCCTTCGTCTTCTTCTTCTTCTTCTTCTTCTTCTTCTTCTTCTTCTTATTATTATTATTATTATTATTATTATTATATATTTTCTTTTCTTTTTCTTCTCATTATGTATCTCTACTTCTTATTTTATTCTTTCTTTTTCTGCATCTTCTTCTCATTATCTTCTTCATTATTTTCTTTTTCTCATTATTATTATTATTCCTCTGTTTTCTAATTCTTCTTCTCTTTCTTTTTCGTATTTTCCTTCTTCTTCTTCTTCTTCTTCTTTTCTCTTTACATTCTTTCTCTTTATTTTAGCCGTTCATAGCAATTTCTTGTAATTTCTTTCATTTTTAAGTCTCTTTCTTTCTCCGTTTTACCCGTTTTGTCATTTTCCTTTTCTCTCTTTAACTTTCGCTTTCTCTCTCTCCCTCTCTCTCTTTGACAACATGAGCTTTTTAGCTCAACATCTTTAGCAGATAAGTAAAATAATATAAATAATGATAACTCCTTCTCTTCCACATCATCATTATCAGCATCGTTAGCATCAATCATTTGACTGGGTGTTCCGATACGCATTTTCACACCAGACCAGTTCTCCTCCACGTATCTGAAAGCCGGGAGGTGGTCATCCATGCGCAGCGGGTCCTGTGCAAGTAGACCTGGCGGAATCCATCCCTCTCCCTGTTAAACAAAAACTAATTTCCATCTTGAAGGCAGGCTTGATCTCGTGCAGGCGGCCATCGATTCCCTTGCGGGGGAACCCTCCGCTCTGGCAGCTGACTTCAGATTATGGAGACATCCACCCAGCGATGCCGTTTGTCACATCACTGGTTACATCCGTAGCTATGGAACCCAAATTTACTTCATTGTGCTAGATGGTCATTTACCCAACAATACCATTTCTCTCCCCGTCTCACCGCTAGTGAAGTTTTGATTTTAAACCTGCTGTTTTTCTAGCGTCACTGCTCAGTAGAAAAGCCTGGTGGGAGGAATGATTTACTCGCTGTGGACCATGGCATATGGCAGGTACTACTGGCTTACATGGTACCAACAGCACTCGCAGAGTAACGTGACACCCCAAAGACAGAGATTTTCATGATCTAATTGTCCACGTCCTTAAGGGACACGGCGCATGAGAAACACATCCACATACGGTTGTAGGAACAAGGACAAAGAATTATGGTAAAGAGTCAAATCTTAATTTTATTAGAGTACCAAAAGGACAGGAAGTTGTGGAGGGCCATGATCGCTCACGTTCTGAAGAAACGTGACTCATAAAAGAAGAATCAATAGCATATGAACGGCAGAACATGGAGAAAGAGGGATGGTAAAGAGTTAAGCAACTGAAGGCAGGGAGTTGTGGAGAGCCACGATCGCTGACATCCTAAAGAGACATGGCTCATAAAAAAAGCAGCAGCATACAGCTATCAGAACAAAGAGAAAGACAGACAATAAAGAGTAAAATGTTAGAGCTACAATGGACAGGAAGTAGTGGAGGTCCATGATCGCTCACGATCCGAATAACCAACTGCATACGGATGGCAGAACAAGATGGATAATAATGTGTCAAATGTTACTGAGAGCAACGAAAGACAGGAAATTGTGGAGACGCATGATCGCAGACATCCTAGCCTAGGAAAGTTTCGGCCGTTGTACGTTCCGACCTTCTTCAGGATCAGTCTATATTTCTGAGATGAGGTACAGTAATTATTTACACTATTTACATTGTTCGGTCTGTTGTTCTCATCTTCGTTGCCATATTCACAACGTTTCGGCCGTATTACGCTCCGACCTTCTTCAGGTGATTAGACACATGGCCAAGTGAATAAAAGCTTTGGTTGAATCCAGTGATATGATCCAAAGAGTTGCGAGTTAGATAACTGACACGGTGACCTCCGGTAGAGGCATGGCATGTGGAAACAGAACAATCTACCCCGGTGAGCGAAATAAAGTGTTTAGTTCGAAATTCCAATCACCTGACGAAGGTCGTAGTGTTCAATAGTTGAAACGTCGGGAATATGGCAACAAAGATGAGTACATCAGTCCGAACATAAGTACAGTGTCTCATCGCAGACATATGGACAGACATTTTTGTTCAATGTTTGGTTTTAAATATTCTTTATGTATTCTGCATTTGGTCTGCGATTGCCCAGCGTAAAATGTTAAAGTGCATATCTTTTGGACAATGAGTTTTCTTTGCTCACGAATTAAATTTGTCGTTAATCCAGAGGATTAGGACAACGCTGAAAGTAAGCAGATAATTTTGTTATCATATTTGGGGATCTGAGATTAATGACAGTTTTCTTTATTAGACAGGGCAGCCACACAAAATGAATAAAGTTGCTTAAGGAACAAGAGGTGACAAATTAAGATCTGTCATCATTTCCATCTTGGCTTCTTCTCATTCTCTTCTTACCCATTTCTTTAACCATTCATTTTTGCTTTCGTTTCTTTCTCTCTCTCTCTCTCTCTCTCTCTCTCTATCTCTCTCTCTCTCTATCTATCTATCTATCTATCTACCTACCTATCTATCTATCTACCTATCTCTTTCTATCTGTCTCTCTTACCGATTCTTTACTCTTCACTTTTGCTTCATTTCCCTTTTTTTTATTCCATTTCTTTTTTTGTCTTTTATTTGTTCATTTCCGGTGTTTATCCACGTTCGTTTTTCTGTTTCCTATTTAAATTTATTTATTATGTTTTCGTATTTTTCTTTCTTTTTCTATATTTTTTCTTTTCTTTTTCCATCTGCATTTCTTGCATTTAATAATCTTTGATGTTTTCTTTTGCATTTCTTTCCACCCGACTTTTTCTTTGTTTTTTTCTTGTATCTTTCTTTTTCTTTCTTTCTTTTTTGCTTTCTTTCTTTCTTTCTTTCTTTCTTTCTTTCTTTCTTTCTACATTTTTCCATCCTATTTTCCGTATATTTATTCCCATTTTCCTAAAATCTATTTATTTCTTTCTTCAATATTTTTTCCTTCTCCAATTTTCCTTCATTTCTTCCTTTCATTCTATCTTTCTTTCTCCATTTTCCATTCTTTCTTTTTTTTATATATCTCATTTTCCTAAAATCTGTATCTTTCTTTCTTCGATTTTCATTCGTTCTCCAGGTTTCCTTTCTTTTTCTTTCTTTCTTTCTTTCTTTCTTTCTTTCTTTCTTTCTTTCTTTCTTCAATTTTTTCTTTCTTTCGGCAGCTTTCCTTTCTTTCTTTCTTTCTTTCTGCAGCTTTCCTTCTTTCCTTCCTTCCTTTCTTTCTCTAATTCCCTTTCTTTTTTCTGTACATCTACCCTCATTTCCCTAAAATCTCTTTGTTTCTTTCTTTAATTTTCTTTCTTTTTTTTCCAATTTTTCTTTCTTTCTTCTTCTAATTTTCATTTCTTTTTTTCTTTTTCGAATTTCCCTTTCTTTCTTTTCCAATTTTCCTCTCTTGCTTTTTTTCATAACATCTAATCTCATTTTGTTTAAATTTTCTTACTTTATTCTTTCCTTTTTCTTTTTGCTTTCTTTCTTTGTCTCTCCAATGTTCTTTCTTTATATTCTTTCTTTCTTTCCTTCTCTGCTTACGGCCATATCCCTTTCACACATCAGTTCCGTACATTCACAGAAGTTAAGCAAAATCGAGCCTGGTCAGCACTTAGATGAGTGACTGCTTCGGAAAACGAGGTTCTGTAAGCTTACATGTGCGCATGATGTAATGAAATCTGAAAGTCCAATTCCAATTGATGTCTACTTACGCGCAAATACCCTTGGAAAAAGTATGAATTGACCTTCTCCCCCCACAGCTATGGGTTAATCAATTAATTACTAAATCATTATTATCTCCATAAAAATCTTACAATCTAAAAATATTTTCGTCCTTCGTTTGACGTTAAACTACATCCACGTCTTGGATAAGACGATAAACTATGTCCAGCAGGAAAGCTTCTCATCAAGAGGTTTGAGGAGCGTGGAACCACCTCTTAATTCCTGGTGTTCTCAGGTCCACCCTGACCCGGGTTGTAGCACCTGTTAGGGTCCCAGCTATGGATAAATAGTTAACTATTACCAGCAATACTTTTTTTAATAAAGGTTATTACCAGCAATACAATTTTGAATGAAAAATATTACAAAAAACACATTTTTGACAAAACAAAATATTACCAGCAATAAAAACTTTTGCCGGCATTGAATAGCCCATTGGGGTTGATGTGCCGTGGGACAAAATAAACCAAACCAATCTAAACCAAAGAATACATATTCTATTCATACGAATCTATCGTAAAAATCTTGTCGGCATTAAATAACCCATTGAGGTTGATGTGCCGTAAAACAAAACAAACCAAACCAATATATAATGAGATAGATTGATGAAAAATATTCCCAGCAATAAAAATCTTGTCGGCATTAAATAACCCATTGAGGTTGATATGCCGTAAATCAAAATAAAACTAACCAAACCTAAAAATATTTGTTTTTAAATAACCGTGAAAGTGTTGAGAAGTCATAGAAAACAAATCAGTTTTTCGTGAACATTGACAATGAAAAATATTACTTAACATTTAGTTTGTCTCATCTCCTTCGAAGTTCACTATTTTGAGACAGTGTGCCGTTACAAATCACTTAGTTATTAGATATCATCTCGTGTATATCATTTTGTAAATACTTCAGATATGACGAGTGTTGCTGTTATGAAAAACGCAGTATTTCATATCATAATAGTTATGATATTAAATACTGTATTCGATTACAGGTAAAAGCTATGGCAATTTTTTTCCCCTGGAATCGAATACCAGCTCCTGGTGTCAGTAGAAAAGGCGCAGTTATCCCAGCCTAATGCTACTAATAAAGGCTGTTCGACTCAGTGTTCTTTTGTGATCTTCTTGATTTAAAACCAATGCCTTTTTTGGAGTCATGTTATCTATAAGTTTGATTGTTTTTTTCTTATGACAGGAGGACAAGAGTAGAACAGTTGGCCACATAGAGAAGGGAATTGTAAAACAATGAAAATTGAAGATAAAAATGTCCTCCTTTTTATATTAAGATCAGATTAGAGAAAATAAAAATGAAAACAAATGAGCGGATGGATAAATGACCTCAGGAAACACTAATCTCGGATTTGAAACATATCACATCTAGATAAGTGTCTTCAGGACGATTATCGACCAAACAAAAAAGATTAACGACTTCGAAAGATTTTTTATAAAGATATTTCTCTAACGATGACCTTTCTTTTTTCCTTCTTTCTCTATTTGGTTCTTTCTTTCTTTCTACAATTTTCTTTCTTCAATTTTCTTTTTTTTCTTTCTTTTTCCAGCTATCTTTCTTTTTCAAATTTTACATATTTCTTTCTTTCTGATTTTTTTCTCCAAATTACCATTTCTCTTTTTCTCTTAGTTTCACTTCTTTTTTCACTATTCTTTCTTTTCTTTCTTTCTTTCTTTCTTTCTTTCTTTCTTCAATTTCCCTTCTTTTTTATCATCCATGTTTCTTTCTTTCTTTCTTTCTTTCTTTCTTTCTTTCTTCAATTTCCCTTCTTTTTTATCATCCATGTTTCTTTCTTTCTTTCTTTCTTTCTTTCTTTCTTTCTTTCTTTCTTTGAGTCCTTATCCTTTTTGTCTTTCCATATTTTTCTTTCTTTTTCTTTATTTCTTTTTTATCTCCAATTTTCTTTCTTTATCTCTTGAATATTCTCTCTTTCTCCAGTTAACTTTCTTTTTTCAATTTTTCTTTCTTTCTTTCTTATCATTCACGCGTATTTCCGTCTTTCTTTCTTTTTTATTTATTTCTTTCTTTCTTTGAGCACTTTTCCTTTTTGTCTTTCCATAATTTTCTTTCTTTTTCTTTATTTCTTGAATATTCTCTCTTTCTTCAGTTTACTTTCTTTCTTATTTCAATTTTCATATCTTTCCTTATTATCATTCATGTGTCTTTCTTTCTTTCTTTCTTTCTTTCTTTCTTTCTCCAATTTACCTTTCTTTCTTCTTTATTTTCTCCAAATTTCCTCCTTCATTTCTTTAATTTTCTTTCTTTTCCTCCTTTCTTTCACCAATTTTCTTTCTTTCTTTCTTTCAGTTTGTACATCGCCCAACCCAGATTTGAACGACAGTTTTTCTCTACCCCACCCCTATATCTCGGGGAACGTTTGTTTCGCCTACCCTTATCAGTGCACGATCTTTATGACCCGTCTTTCCTTAACGACTCGATCATTTCTTTCTCTCTCTCTCTCTCTAAAACACTCAATCTATTCTTGTTTTTTTTTTCTCTTATCACCAAATACAGAGAAAGAAGAATATTTACGATACCCTGCTCAATTTCATTTTCAGCCATATTTTTCTTACAGAAGCTCCACTTCTAAGCAAAAAAGCAAATTACAAACATCAACCTTTTAATTGCCTTGCCATTCCTACCCGCATCATTTTACGCGGTTGTATTTTGAGGTTCTCCCCATCACTTATTACTTTCGAACTTCTGTCCTCAAATGAACTCCAGTATATATTGTAACCTTAACTATAGAATATTCAATATATATTCCGTTTATTTAGCATAAGGCATAGGACTGATCCTTTGAAAGTCTAGGTGTTTCTATTTTTAACCCATTACCTGCTATGAGCCCCATTTGAGGATCTGTTAAAATTAAACTCACTACAGGTTATTCCTTGTATTTATATTGAATTGCTTAAATACATTGCATTTGCAGAGGTATATTTTACAACACTAAGCCTGTAAAGGAGGCACGGTGGAGTAATGGATATCAGCTTGGATTGAGGAATCGGAGAGCAGAGTTCGAATTCCAGTCGAATCCATTACATTCACTTACGTGCTAATACCCTTGGGAAAGGTATGAATCCTCTTCTTCTCCCTCCGGCTATGGGTAAATAGCAGGACAGACTGAGTTCTATAGCCTTGGATGGCAACTGGTCTAGGAGAAGGAGAACTCTAAATTCAAAACTTGCGGATGGTCGTTTGGGGACCTCTGTATTCGGCCCTTCAAAAAGTGTGGATGGTCCTGCACAAAACCTTCGCCACTATAATCAATTCTCACGTGCTGTTGTCGGTCTGTCGGTTTCCTGGGAACTGATATGCTTGACCCTCGTAGGTCGGATTCGACGGAAGAAACGAGCGAGCCTTTAAAGTTTCTGTAGTAATTTTACATTTCACGAGTAGAAAAATAATGACTATTTTGAAAAGTACTTTTTTTTATTATTTCTAATCAATAATATTTTTTGATGTTTTATACACATATATATTTGATGTACTAGTTTCTGTAAAGTTTCAAAGTACCATATATTCGAAGAAAATTTTAATTATATATGTTGTTTTAACTCCTAAGACACATGCCTGGACCAAAAATGCGCATTAAAAAAATTTGGCAGTTAATGGGTTAAGTTTAATGATAGATTTCTATTACTATTATTTTATCACTAGTTTTAGTAGTATTGCTTTTATTATTTATTCTTTTTACTCTTTTTCTTCTTTTTCTTCTATTTTCCTCTTCTTTCTTCTTTTTCTTTTTCTACTTATATTTTCTTTTTTCTTCTTTTTCGTATTTCTTCTTTACCTTCATTTTCTTCTTCTTTTTCTTCTTTTTTCTTTTATTCTTCTTCTTCTTCCTTCTTCTTCTCCTTCTTTTTCTTCTTCTTTTTTTTTTCTTCTTTATCTGCCGTGTTCTCTCAGAATGTAACCGATCAAAGCTTTCTACAACTTCCTATCCTGTCCGAAACACATTTTTTTTTCTCTAGCAGGACTTCGGCAGAGTAATTGGTTAAGGTTAAATTTAATTGGCAAATGTAGCCAACAAATAGAACCAGACTGTTGAAGGACTGGTGTAAGGCATCCCGCCTGTTTCGTTAACTCTTCTCCTTCCGTGTAGATGTGCCCGCGATCCTGGAGATGCATTTGGCGATGTTAATGCTCTTGAACTGTCTACCGAATTTGTTGTCTATTCAACATTCCAGCTGGCCAGAGGTATTTCCTTGCTGGTTAGACGTACAATGAATGTGAAGGTGGACCTTGTCTATGTCGAAGCGAGTGCGGGTAATCGTGGCCGATATTGCCGTGAACAGTAATTCGAATCTTTGCGATTCATGCCCCCAACAATTAGACGGAGCATTGCATTTTCCTTTAACTTCTTTTTAAACACATTCTATTCTTCCTCCTCTTTTTCTTCTTTCTTTTTAACGTTTTCTTCACATTTTTCTTCTTTTCTTATTGTATAATTTCCTTCTTCTTCTTCTTCATCATCATCATCATCATCATCATCATCATCTTCTGGTGCTGCAGCTGCTTCATTTGCATTTTCCTTTTTTCTTTTTTTTAAACACTTTCTCTTCTTTCTCCTCCTTTTCTTCTTCTTTTCAAACTTTTTCTTCACATTTTTCTTCTTTTCTTATTGTATAATCCTTTTCTTCTTCTTCTTCTTCTTCTTCTTCTTCTTCTTCTTCTTCTTCTTCTTCAGCTGCTGCTGCAGCTGTTTCTCTTTCATTTTCATTTTTCTTCTTTTTAAACACATTCTCTTCTTCCTCCTCCTTTTCTTCTTCTTTTTAAACTTTTTCTTCACATTTTCTTCTTTTCTTATTGTATAATTCCCTTGTTCTTTTTTCTTCTTTTACTTCTTCTTTTCTTCTTCTTTTCTTCTTTTTCTTCTTCTTCTTTTTTTTCTTCTTCTTTTCTTCTTCTTCTTTTTCTTCTTCTTCTTCATCATCATCTTCTTTCCCTCTACTTACTATTTTTCTTCTCAATTTTCCCCAACCTTGTATTAGTTTTATAACCTTTCCCGTATAAATTATTATTATTATTTTTTTTTTTTTTGCCTTTTATTTTCCTTTCGGTCACTATCGCCATTTTATTTTTCTTTCTCTCACTTATTTCTGTTTGTTTTTTGTTTTTTGTTTTCTTTTTGTTTGTTTTTGTTTCGCCTGTCATGAAAAAACACTCGATCCAGCCACAGACGAAGTTAACTGTCGTCAGTCAGAACATTTTCAGCAGAGAAGGGCCGTTTTGCCTTACCTGTCAACCCTGTAGTCGCCGTCTAATGTATCCAATCCGAGTATCAAACATCAGTTTTTCTTTGTCAGTGCTGATTGCTGCGAGGAAAACAAATTGTTTCTGCGTAATGTGTCCCTTTACACTGCAAGTATATCACTTTGCGATCCTTTCAAGTCTCCACAATGTCTTTCCTACCTAGTAATCAGAGGATAATATATGAACCCCTCGCTCAGAGACGCAGACAAACGCCTCTAATACCCTCGAATGAAACAAAACAAAATTCGGGTGTAGTCATATAGTCACATAAAGGGTCACAAGTATAATAAAAAAAAACGAGTCATTTCATTTTAAATTCAATATAAATATGATTTTTAAGTATACGTAGTCGTCGACATACGACATAAGCAATTTACGACGGTTCGCTTTACGACATAGACGTCACAATTTGAAACAAACGACCCAAACATTTGCAAGGATTAAACGGGTAATACATGATGAGATTAGTCCATATCGTGTAATTAATGTTGAGAAAAATCAACAGACTATTCAGACAAAACTAACCGAGTTTATGAAAGTCGTATCTCCTCCCGATAATAGATATCGAACTGATAAAAACAATGAGAGAAGAAGAAGAAGAAAGAGGAGGAGGAGGGAAGAAGAAGAAGAAGAAGAAGAAGAAGAAGAAAGAGGAGGAGGAGGGAAGAAGAAGAAGAAGAAGAAGAAGAAGAAGAAGAAGAAGAAGAAGAAGAAAATAAATGACGACTGAAAGAGAAGAAAGAGAGCCACAGAAATGGGGAGATGAAAAGAGGGTGAGAAAGAAGAAGTGTTAAATGAAAATTATTATTATTATTTCTATTATCATCATTATTATTATTATTATTATGCAATCGTGATCATATGGGCACGTGGCCGAGTGGTTTGCATTCTGACAATGAGACCCGGGTTCGAATCTCACCCTGGTCTCATTGTCAGGAAGGAGACTTCCTGATGTTATCGCTCTTGAGGGAGGCAATCCTAACCTGCGGCACCACAGGTTGACCCAAGCCTTGTGAGTGAAATTGGGTAGACGGAAACCTTGGTCATCGTGGCCGAGGGCTTGTTAATCATGTTAGATAACACGCTCCATCCTAGAAACAGTAACTAATTTCTGCTCAGCATAGTGGGCTCTGTGGGTGTCAAACAAACACTAAAATGCGCCTGAGCAAGCGTCATCAGTAAGGATTATCTTACCGCCCTAGTAGACGGGTATCCACGAATATGAGTAGCCAGTAATACATAGTATCCTGACACAGTATCATGACACACCATACTGTATACACGGAAATTTAACATTGTGCTACTTACGACCAAGCCGTCTTACGACGTATCTGTCGGAACCAAGGACCGTCGTAAGACGACGACTACCTGTATATTCTTTTTTTCTGTTTGTCTTGCTGCCGGATGTATTTTATCTTCTTACCCAGGACGCGGATGTAGTTTATGGTCTTACCCAGGACGCGGATGTATTTTATCGTCATACCAAGGACGGCCTTTAACTCGAAAAGAAACTAGTGATGTAATTAAAATACTGACTTTCCATACTACGTTAAACAAAAAGTTAGGAAGGAAACTCCAATAATTACTACAAATGCTAAAGATTTCTGTAAATAAGAAGCCTACATTCTTGAAAAAAAGAAGAAAGTTTTAAATTATTTTAAGAGAAAGATTTTGTAAAGGAAAAGCCTCTCTCATGTTTAACATTAACATTAATTCTCCTCATCAGCTTTCAGTTTTATTACACGAAAACAGCGGTTTCTGTACTATCAAGTTAAAAAACGTCAAGTCCTGTAAGTATCTAGATGAACGCTTTGGAATCTCAGATGTTGTAAGCTTGGATGGTGTAATGGATAATGTCTCGAAAGTTTACCATTCTTCCATTCTTCGAATATTGCTGCCACATATGGTCCGGTGCTCCTGCTATATATTCAGAGATTTTTGATAAAATCCAGTGAAAAATCAAGAATATTATTTATTGTTTCCCTGTCACTTTGCTATAAATATTTTCATGGTAATTGTTCGGATGAACTCTTCGCTATGGTACGTAGACTTTATAAATTTAAGCGCAGTACTAGATTGGTGGGATGGTCTCATCAATCTACAGTTGAATTGACTTAATGTAAGTTCTATCCCAATAGTTTATTTTCTCGCACGTCTCGCTGACCATAGCTCAAATAGGACCTATTTAAACACAAGAAAACCTACCAAACTCCGTCCTCGACATTCTCGTAGTAAATGCAAGTATAATAGCCTCAACCAGATGTAAAAAAAAGGGCTAAAACTATGAAGACATTAAAGAAAAGGCTAACAATAGTTAGGAAGGAAATTCCCATATTTACTAGAAACGTCAAAAAGTTCTGTAATGGAGAAGCTGACTTTCTTGAAAAAAGAGGAAAATTTTAAGATTATTTTAAGAGAAAGATTTTGTAAAGGAAAGGCTCTTTTCACGTTTAAGATTAACATTAATTCTTCTAATCGGCTTACGGTTATATTACGTTGATACAGCGGTTTCTGTACCATCAAGTTAAAAAAAGGTCAAGTCCTGTATCTAGATGACCCCTTTGGAATCTCAGATGTTGTAAGCTTGGATGGTGTAATGGATAATGTCTTGGATGTTTACCATTCGTCCATTCTTCGAATATTGCTACCACATATGGTCCGGTGCTTCTGCTATATATTCAGAGATACTTGATAAAATCCAGTGAAGATTCAAGAATATTATTTATTGTTTTCCTGTGACTTTACTATAAATATTTTCATGGTAATTGTTCGGGTGAACTCTCTTTGGATTTAGGTAAATTGCTCAAAATCAATTGCTCGACAGTAAATTGCACGAAATTAATTTCTCGAAAAATAATTTATCGAACTATTAATTGCTTGAAAGGCAGATTGCTCGAAGTAATTTCTAAGCTCGAAGCACCACGTAAACTGCGCCGTCTTACGACACGTCAACGGAGCTGGATATAAAAGGAGCCATAACACTCACTTTAGCAGTCAGTCTTCTAGGATTTTCTCTCTTGGCTTTGCTCAACACACGGTGGCAAGGCTACTCTCTCTACGCGTGGTTCTCCCTTTCTTTTTATATATTTGTTTTCTATTTCTATTTCAGTCATTTTGGAGATCTCGAACTCTAGTGATGGACATAACCTTTGTTGAGAGCGAAAAAGGAAAGAAGTAGTTGTGTTTGGATGGATATCTATATATTAAGGACAAAACAGTGAACAGTAAGATTTATTGGAAATGTGAAATGTGCTAAAAGCAAGAAATTTACAAGAATTGCGAATAGAGCAATATGTGGGAGGAGTGAGTGCAGCTGAGGGCAATAAAAGTACCGTGACTCTACAATGAGATTAAAGAACATTGTATCAAACTATGACACAACATATTGCATATAATATCTCATACTAATAGAGTAAATATTAGCAACAATAGTTATATATTTTTTATCTTTTTAAATCACGAAGAATAAAAGTAATAATATAAATGTACCCTTTATTTTAAACCATGACAAAAAAAGCAATGTAGAAAAAAACTAAGACCTTCTATATAAATGTACTCGTTCTTCAATTTTATCTGTTCAGTTATGGAGACTTTATGAATTTAAGCGAAGTATTAGATTAGACTAGGTCACATCCATTTTCAATTGAATTGGTTAGATGGAACCGTATGTTCTAAACGAACACTTCTTTTCTCGCACGTCTTGCTGAGCATAGCTCAAACAGGACCCATTTACACACAGGGAAACCTACCAAACTCTGTCCTCGATATACACGTAGAAAATGCAAGTATAATAGCCTCACCCAGATGTAAAAAAGGCTAAAACTATCAAAACATTAATAATAATAAAGAAAAAGCCAACAATCAATAATGCTATGAACACGACCATAATTTGCTGACCGTTTTTGAAAAGAAAATTCCTATTCCTGTCACTATAGATACGCATATATAAAAAACAATATACTCAGTTAAATTGAAAAAAAAAACAAAAAAAAAAAAAAACAGACAGCATTTATAATGATTAATAGAAAAGCCGAAAGCACCCGGCTATATAGATTTGAAAAATTTTATATCCAGAAAAAATCACTTATATGATCACAAGAAAAATTGAATAAAAAGCTTAAATGCACTACCTTCGTTATTAACGAAACTTGTATAAAAGAGGATTACTGCCCAAATACATAATTGCACTCACACACACACACACACACACACATATATATATATATATATATATATATATATATATATATATATATATATATATATACTCGCCTCTGAGTGTTGACTTCAATGTTCCCTTTTATATTTATTACATACGCTCTCTCTCTAATAGTGAGCACTTTATCCCATAAACATAGCACACCTGAAAACTATATTTCTTCATATATATATATATATATATATATATATATATATATATGATTGTGTGTGTATGTGTTTGTGTTAGTGTGTGTGTGTTTGTGTGCATAGGTGTGTGTGTGTGTTTGTGTGTGGGGTATATATATATATATATATATATATATATATATATATATATATATATATATATATATATGTATCG